ATCCATATATATCTACATATATATATATATATATATCTACATATATATAATATATAGATATATCTATATATCTATACATATATAGATATACATATATATATATATATATACATATGTATATATATATATACAAACAGATATATATATATATATGTATGAGATGCGTCTTCACGGCTTTGTTTGTGTTTATTTTTGCTGCCTGTTTTTGCTGCATTTGTTGGTCTCCGCTCACCGACGCCACCGACTGCTGACTTCAATTTAACATTTTACCTCACAACAATCAGGTGTATGCGCACATAGAAATATATATATATATATATATATATATATATATATGTTATAGGATGTATATAAAACCATCCTATAATATATATATATATATATATATATATATTATAAGATGCACATAGGGATACAACCATATATATATATATATGTATACTCTAGGATGTATACAGAGACATTAACATATCTACATATACATAATATATATATATACATTTATATACGTATATATATAATATATATAACTATAGACAGATAAAGCATATAAAAATATATATTACAGATTCGAGTTATTTATTTTTGTCGATTTGCAGCGCGTAGAGCAGCAAAAGAAGTCAGCCAACCAACTCAGCTGTACGTGAAAGAAATGTATACAAGCAATAATATATATATATATATATATATCTTGTATATAATATAAAATATATTATATATATTATGCAATAGACGGTGGATATTATGTAGATGCCTTTTATTGTATATAAATATATATATATATATATATATGTATATGTATACATATATATATATATATACATATATACATATATATCTTTCTATATGTATATATATATATATATATCAATCTCTAAAACAAATAAATATACATATATATATCCTTTACAGATTGTCTCTGTTATAAACAAAGCACACATCTACAATAAATATATTTTAAATTATTAATATGAATAAATAATATATTTTATACTGAGTGAAGATCTGTTGGCTGTAGGCGCCACCACATTAAAAAAAAATTTGTTTGTTTAAACCCAAACACTAAACAGAGACAGCTCAGCACTTGCTTCAGTCTCTAGCAATTGACAGAGAGCTGTTGCTGCTGCTGCTGCTACTGCTGCTACTGCTGCTGCTGCTGCTTCTGCTGTTGCTGGTGCAGCTGGGCTAGCTCAGCTGCTGTTGCTGCTGTTGATGCTACAGGACATGCTGCTGCTGCTGCCGTTGCTGGTGCAGCCGCTGCATTTGCTGCTATTGGTGCTGGTGCTGCTGCTGCTGCTGTTGCTGCTGCTGTTGCAGCGGTGAGACACCAGTTAACCGTCTGACGCGCTCGCTACCTAGCGCAGCTAGCTAGCTCTGCATGATAGAGATAAAGAGAGTGAAGGAGACAGAAGAAAGAGAGACAGAAAGGCAGCATAAAAGGAGACAAGGGTGTAGCAGCAAAGTGCGTCGGGATTACTGTGCTGCAGTAGAAGCAGCAGCAGCAGCAGCAGATACAGATGCTGCAGATATAAAACACTCTTTATAATGCTTTATTTCTTCTGCTGCACCCTCTATTAACTCAACCTCCCGCAGCTGCAGCAGCCGACGCGAGTCAACAATATCCAACGGAGGTGGCGGCCCTCGCGACAACACCAGACGCTCAATTCTAACAAAAGGAGACAGACACCCCAAAGGAGACAATATATAATATATATAATATATATAATATATATATATATATGTAATGCATAAGGAGACAATATATATAACATAAGGAGACAATGTATATAACAAAAGGAGACAGACACCCCAAAGGAGTCAATATGTATATTATATATATATATATATATATATAACAAAAGGAGACAATATATATAACAAAAGGAGACAATATATATAACAAACGGAGACAAAAGCAGTTAAAGGAGACCATCATAAGAAGCAAAAAAGAAGGAGACAGCAGAGACATCAAAAAGAGATTGGAGACAAAAAATAATTAATGCAAATGAAGGCG